CTACATTACAGCACTCTCAATAAATGATAACAGAAGCAACAAATCGTCCCTGGTACAATTTGGTATTCACTGGGTGAAACGGCCGTACATACACATGTGACTTCAGCTAAGGTGTGCTGGTGACCTGACCTTAACTGACTTTGATCGTACCCTTCAACATTTGCGAAAAATGATCATTAGGTGTGCCAAAACCATGGTGCGAACTGCGAAGCATCAAGCCCTTTTATATACAGTGGAATATTGTTGAATTGTTGAATTGTCAGCTTTTAATCTAGATGGCTGGCTTGAGTCAAGCCATCAGCATAGTCAAAATAAATCGATGTTGAAATGATCAATAGCATGTAACGCGCACCGTTGGGCTATCGGCGGACCCTACCCCAGTCTTACATTAACCTTCGCCCCAGTGGGGGGGGGGGGCATATGTTACCACCAGGGTTTCGGAGTCGTGGTAGCGCTGTTCCGACTCCGACTCCGACTCCGACTCCGGGCTCCTGACCGACTCCGACTCCGACTCCGACTCCGGGTCTGATACGAAGGGCAATGGCGGCCGCCAAAATTTTGCGTGATATGACGCCACGTGCTAGGTCTACGTGCACGGGAAGAACGCTCCTACTCTCCGGTTTCCTTCATGCAGTCACCATTTCTCCCACGTGGACGCAGCTGAATCCACAAGAGGTCAGCGGTCAGCGCGGAAACCCGCCGAGAAGCGCGAGAGGCGGCCGTATCACGAACACGAGCATCGCCATCATGTCGGTCATTCCTATGTGTTGATACTTTTCGGAACATAAACGAAGAAAATAAAAATACAGTTGTCATTCAGTCTTTGACCCGTCAAATACTTCAGATAGTGAAAGTTATAACGCGCTGCAAAATATTTGGCTACTGAAGTATGATATAACTTGAAACTTGTAAGATCCAATGTTTGTCATTCAGAACAAAAACAAGATGTGTGCAATTTTTATCGCCGGAAGCGAATTCTACCGCGGGCAACTGGTAAAAAAATATGACAAGTGATATCACAGATTTTAGTTATTTTCCGGAGTCGGAGTCGAGGCAGCTTGACCAACTCCGACTCGGACTCCGACTCCTGGCTGCTTGCCACGACTCCGGGCGACTCCGACTCCGACTCCGACTCCGACTCCGAAACCCTGGTTACCACCCTGTCGCGCTTTTTGCGTGTGAATAAAAAACTGCGGCGCGTAGCGCCGCGCCGCTTGAGGTAGCTTTTGGTACATCAATTTTGGACAATGTGTGAAATTTTTGACCCCAGGTTATGTCAGGTCAGGTCACCAGGTCAAGTTAACTGACCAAGCCTAAAAAAGTTTGCAATCATGTCCACTGTCCAGCCTGCAGTGTTTGTCAGAAAGGTTTTAAACTTGGTTGATTGCATGCTGTTATGGGCGCCTACAATTTGTATATCTCGGATTTTTTATATCCGTGACCTAACGTCAGGTCGGTGGCGTGACCTTTCCATTACAAGTCAATGGAGAAAAATGAAAATGCCTCTAGATCTGTGTGTACGCATAGGAACAGTCCAAATATTTCAGGATCACAATGATTTAGTCCACTCGTGATGACCAAGGTGTCATTTTTGCTGATAGCCTCTAGAAAGGTCATCCGAGGTCATTTGAGGCTACAAACAGTTTTTTGCCAATAACTCGCGATTGGAAAGAGATAGAACGCTGGGGATGGTCTCATTGTGTTTGTCTTGTTGAACCGCATCGACTGATATGCAACATGACCTTTTCCAGTCAGGTCATGACCTTGACCAGGGGTCAAATTTTCAAGTTGACCTTTCAAGGTCAAATTATAGTTCATTCGACGCGTCTTGGCGAGGGGAACACGATTCTGGCAATAAAAAGGTCGTGGCTTTTTGTAGTCGAAAGTTATTGTCGAAAAACACTTTTCGTAAAAACAGCTATTTTTGGAGTTTTTGCCCTCTGGAGGCTAAACCGTTGACCTGAGGTCAAAATTGATAATGACCTTTTCAAAAGAAGAGTTCAAAAGCTATAGATTGCTCTTCCATGCGTTTTTCTAGCTACCTAAGTTCCTGAGATAGCGGCATGTTTTCTGAAAAATATAATGACAATTGGCAAATTTTGACCTTTGATGACCTCTGGTGACCCCAATATTGCTCTAAGGTGAAAAATGACCGAAATACTTTCAAACGTACGCATTGAGAGAGCTATCGACTGCTTTTTTCCGCGTCTTTCTAGCCCTCTTAGTTTTTGAGTTAGAGGTGGGTGGTAACATATGCCCCCCCCCCCCCCCCCACTAGGGCGAAGTTGGCTGAGACCGCCACTGGGGCGCGGGTTAAGTCTTCTTTAAAAGATAAATAAACAAGCTTTCAGATAACAGCCAAAAAATAATGATATGTAAATTTATACCGAAGTTATGACGCTTCAAGTAAAAACTGGCCCAGCTAGCACCGGTCTCCCCTAGGGTGGGTGTCAAGGTCACCTGAAGGTCAGGTCAGGTCACTGACCTTTGATGATCTCGGTTCACTTTTTCGAGTTTTAGCTGTTTCTATGCTAGTTTTGGGAGATGAATTTGAATGTATCACCCATTTGAACATTTACGAAGTAGTTTTGGTTCCTTCGTAACATGTTACGAAGCTCTGTCAGAGGCTGTTGATACCTACTACGAATACCCGGCAGGACCCTTACTGGTTGACCTGACCTGACCTGACCTAACCCGACCTGGCATAAATGCATGAAGACATCATCTGTGATCAAAACTAACATGATTTTCGTTATCAGCACCCCGAAAAACCATAGTAGCGACACTTTACGACATTCTAACAGATCCTGATTTTTCCGACTTTTGGGTAATTGACCTGGCCTGGAAGATGAACCAATGGCATAGGACCTTAAAATTTGGTATCACCGGCTTTCTCACGTCACGGGCAGCACGCTCGTTTTTGCCGCGAAGCTCTAGCTCGATCAGGGGCCAAACGGCAAGGGGGGGAGTCAACGGAACCCCCTTATACGTTCGCGGCTGGCAAAACACCAACACGGGCGAGTGTTAACCCTCGCCCGTATTGGTGTTTTTCCAGCCGCGAACGTATAAGGGGGGGGGTCCGTTGGACCCCCCCCCTTGCCGTTTCGCCCCTGATCGAGCTAGAGCTTCGCGGAAAAAACGAGCGTGTTGCCCGTGACGAGAGGAAGCCGATGATACCCAATTTTAAGGTCCTAGGTCATTGGTTGACCTTGCAGGTCAGGTCAATGACCCAAAAGTCGGGAAAATCGGGACCTGTTAGAACGTCGTAAAGTGTGGCTGCTATTGGGTTTTTCGGGGTGCAGATCACGAATATCATGTTAGTTTTGATCACAGATGATGTCTTCATGCATTTAGGCCAGGTCGGGTCAGGTCAGGTCAGGTCAACCAGTAAGGGTATTCGTTGTAGGTGGCAACCGCCTCTGACAGCTTCGTAACATGTTACGAAGGCACCAAAACTACTTCGTAAATGTTCATATGGTTGCTAAATTCGAATTCAGCTCCAAAAACTGGCCTAGAAACATGTAAAACTCGAAAAAGTGAACCGAGGTCATCAAAGGTCAATGACCTGACCTGACTTTCAGGTGACCTTGACACCCACCCTAATGCATGGGGGCAACATCATATCACATGTTTGAACGCTTGAAACCACGAAAAGACTGCAAACGCGCGGCTAATGCGAGCCGACATACGCCGAATCGCGATTCCGGCCAAACATGGTCTCGAAAAGTAGGTCACAGGTCAAAGGTCATTTGGGTCAGGGTCATGAAATTTTCAGGGTAGGTGTAAAATTGATGAACGCGAGGGTGTTGAAAGCTTCGTCGCGATCGGCCGCTTTTTACGCGAGTTATTCGCGAAAAACCATGGGGGGGGTCCGTTCGACCCCCCCCCCCTATACGGGCGAGGGTTAAGTTATGAGAGGGCACCTGCAGTTTTGCGATAATAACTTTTAACAACAAATTAGCATGCTCGACAATAATGTGTTTGAAAGGCAGCATTCCAAAGTTGGATTACATTTTTGTTAATGGCACAGTGACAGATCAACTGTTACACGGCATGCTCTATTGAGCATTTGACTTTTGGTAAGGCTTAGTCGAAAGGTTGGTTACTAGAACCGAAAATTGATTTTTTCGGGGGGAAATAAATAAGCGATTGGACGATGTAAATCGCATGGTTTATAATTTTTAAAAATATTTTGAAGGCAAAAGACTTCAGTTGTAAGGACTCTAAGGCCTTAAAGGGTTGATACATTCCAGGCATCAAATTAGGTTCTACCGCGATAGTCCCGTCGTGAAAACGGCCATTGTAAACTAAAAGTCAGTTTTGCTGTTTAGCTTAACCACAAACCTTAAGTCAAGTCTTAGGACTTGTTAATAAAATAGCTGAAAATGGTTATCAAATGACTTTTTGTCCTTGAATGACCTTGTCCATCTGTATCCCATGCCCTTTACCGCTTGTCGCTAGCTTGCTCCGTTTTCGAGATCTTAGGAGGGGAGGGGGGGGTGGTCATCCCTGTCGGTACGAAGTTGGCGCAGACCCCCGTCGGTGCGCAGGGTAACCTTTGATGATCTCTGGTGACATGACCTATGACCTGACCCAAAACACCTGAAGCAATTCTTTCAGGGTTTTAGGCGTTCTTTCAAACGCTGCTCACTACGTGTGGCTGCTTGGCCTAGAAGCCAAGTTAGATACAGGGGCAGACCCCCGCGCCTCTAGGTATTTACTAAAAGACAAAAATAACAAATATAGAGTGATCAGCAGCATTATAGCCGCTGTGGCTGTACTTACATATACACCTCCAGTCTGCTGTATAATCCCTGCTGAACCTACATATATCTGACTACTGTATACCTAAATCTCTGCTGAACTTGCAAGGTACATTCTAAAAGACATTATTTCATTTTTATTCCAAATACGCCAAACAAAATAGTCAAACTGTTTGGTATTTCCGACGCTACGAGGTGCCCTCTACAAAATTACGGTATTTGCAGTTGAACAAGCCATTTGAACATTGATAAATGTATTAAACAGACAATGAAACGTGCACAAACATACACAATATAACATGCACAAACACACAGCAAAACGTGCACAAACATACACAGTTAAACGTGCACAAACATACACAATAAAATGTGCACAGTAAAACGTGCACAAACATATGCACAGTAAAACGTGCACAAACATACACAGTTAAACGTGCACAAACATACACAATAAAACGTGCACAAACATACACAATGAAACGGGCACAAACATACACGATAAAACGTGTACTTGAAAGTTGAATTTCGAGGTCACAGGTCGCCGTCCACTGGTTAGGGACGAATTTTACGATTAATCATCTAGTGCCCAGAGCGCGCTGAAAAGCTGAATAATTTCAAGCCCTGACCTCAGGTGACTCTTCAGAAAAATCTGAGATATACAAAAAAAGAGACCTCTCAAGGATACTAGGTCCGCAAGTTTCATCTCCCTGTGTAGGCTCCTGTGGCACTGGGGGCGTCGCGAAGACTGCGACATTTAAGGACCGTGCAGAGGTCCACTTATGATGTCATAGGTTGGTGACCTGACCTGACCTGAAAATGCAATTGAAACAAAAATATCTGGCTTGATCAATTGGGTCAGGACTCAGGGACGCCAAGTTTCAGCTCTCTATCCCCTGCGTATTCTGATCTATCGCAAAAATACCAATGGGGGGGGGGGGGGTGCCTTTCTTTTCGGCCGGTGAGGATTAGGATCCTCTCTAGTTCTCTACATATGTTTCCAAGAGTGCATGTTTTTCCTCAGCTGTCTTGAGTTTCCTTTCTCACGAGCAGGCCGACATTTTATCTTGCTAGAAGGTGAAGCAGATGACAGATGTTGCCATATACGTGGTTATCGTAATTCCAACGCCAAAAGCGACACTCCTCCAGAGTGATATCTGAAAAAGACGTTTTAGTGTGACTTTCGTTTGTAGTTAGGGCATGGTTACACTAAAAATGCACTCTATTCCCTCTCTCTCTCTCTCTCTCTCTCCCTCTCTCTCTCTCTCTCTCTCTCTCTCTCTCTCTCTCTCTCTCTCTCTCTCTCTCTCTCTCTCTCTCTCATTCCGGTAGGCACCATATTGCGGGCGGAAGATTATCACTACATTTATATAGAAAATTGTATGAATCATACCAGCAGCAGAACATTAACTTCGTAGTTCATTCTAGCAGACACTTATGTCATTCCGGTAGATACAAATCTCATTACGGTAGACACTGATCTTATTCTAGATGACGCGCTATCCGGATAAAAAAGAATGCATCAGGCGCGGAGTAGCAGATGACACCTCAATGCCGAAGTAGAAAATTACATGCAGTAGCAAATGACACGTCATTGTGGACGAAACTCACCTCATTCAGGTAGAAAAATGAATGGAGCACGCGCGCAGCAGCGAACGCTCTGATCAGCATTCCCGCCACTCTCTCCGTGGGACCAGTGGCCAGGTAGAGTGGGCAGAGTGCTAGGAACGGGAGCACGTTCTCCAGGTCATTCAGATGAGCTCTCTTCACTCGTAGCACATCCGGGTCGGAGAGGTCAAATTTGCCGCCTCGGAGTTGAGCGTCCTCGGGATTTGAGAAAACCTGTGGAGGAGACGAGAGAGAGGGAGAGAGAGAGAGAGAGACAGAGACAGAGACAGAGAGAGAGAGAGAGGGAGAGAGAGAGAGAGAGAGACAGAGACAGAGAGAGAGAGAGAGAGAGAGAGAGAGAGAGAGAGGGGGGGGGGAGAGAGAGAGAGAAGTTTTGAATCGCGCAATCAGCAGTTTTTCATCTCTGAATAGTCTAGAAGAAGAACCAGATTATTCCTAGTAAAGGGAAAATTTGCTGGTGACAACAACAAAATAGAGGTGTAGATTTCGATACTTACATTTTTACAGCTCTAATTTATCGGTCAGCAGTTGGTATTACCAGTTGATATTTGGGAAATCGGTCGGTAATTTTCCGAGATCCCTCAGTGGGTTAGACGTTGTACTTACATTGAGCCTATTGCATGGTACAGTGAAGTGTAAACGGTGAAGTTGTAAAGGTAAGGTGACATCGAAAGGTGCATCTAAGCTATCGTTTGCCTTGTGGAATTTTTAACTCCGTTACGTTCTTACAATGCCAGTTCTCAAACGTTCTCACCTTCATCTCTCATTCTCACTTGATTCTCACCTTCTTACGTCGTTTCTGTCGTGAAGTCAGGAAGGACATGACGCCAACTTTTACCACCAGCATCGCCGCGTAGAAGAGGTACAACTTGAACAGATCACTATCCACACTGAGTGGGATCTTGTCCGTCATCTTCAACGAGTTGTTGAACACCTTCAGTGGCTCGATGTCTGGCTAGCTGGGTCTCTTTTTGGATTATCGTGGAGCAGGCAGTGTGTCGAGATGATGTCTTGCTTGTATGTCTGTCTTTGTTTCGTGGTGCCTGTCAGGCACGAGCTTATCAACAACAACAAAAAGCTGGCCATGACACGTGGAAAACCAAAGATATTCAAATGAGCGCTTAGTATGATGCTATTAACCCTCGCCCGCACATGCCATTTTCCCATCCTAGAACGCACATGGGGGGGGGGGGGTTGCCACCCCCCCGCGCCATTTCGTTCCTGTTGGAGATAGAGCTTAGCGGTAAAGACCAAGAAGATTCTTTGGGAAGAGACAAATCCAATGATACCCAGTTTTACCTTCTCAGGTCAGTCATTGACCTTCCAGGTCAGGTCAAACTAAAAAATGTTGCTGTTTTAGGTCACCGTTGGATATCAAGTGCGCTGCTTGTCATATACCGATGACGATGCCGTTTTCTGGTGCCAAGCCAGCTAGAACCTCTTTGTCACACTACCCGACCAGGTTTTTGCTGCTGAGGTCATCTCAGGTCAAGTTAGGTCAAGGTCAATGATATGTGTTTGTATGTCTGTGTGTGTCTGTGTGTATACTGATGTGTGCACCGATTGTTTATGTGTCCATATTACATGAAATCATGATCTGAGAAGCTTTTACCAAAAATGTAGTCAAAAAATTTCAAAAAAAGTAAATTCAGCTTCCCTAAAACGCAATTGTCTTAGATGACCTAGGTTGACCTTGACCCTGCACTTGACATCAGTACATCGTCGAACAACATGTTTCATGATAGGTGGGAGGTAAGATTGGCATAAAAGGCCGAAATCAAGGTGTTAAAAGCCCACAAGGCCCATAGCCAACGCAAGATGTTGAGAATTGGCCATTTGGGTCATAACATGACCTGAAAAGTGAAAAACAAGGTCATATCTCCGAAACCAAAAACCACAGAAACTTGAAATTTTCAGTGGACATTAAGAAAGTATAGAGAAGCAGCTATACGAAAAATCAGCCTTCTAGCTCTAAAAATGTTGAGTGCAGAGCAGAAAGACTACCTGGGGGTGGGGTGGCAACCCCCCCCCCCATGTGCGGGCGAGGGTTAAGGTCTCATGATAGTTGCGAGCCGGTTAATTACCGTGCTTATTTATAATAGCCGTTTTCACGACGGCAATCTGGTACACATTTAAATTAGATTAGGTGCAGATTTTGGTACGGATTTGGTGAAATTAGGTTCATTGCGTTTCTTTAACGTTATCAGCTTGGATCGCACAGGTGATTGCATATCTTATTTTTCATCTCATCAGACATTATTTTCGAAAGACTGAAAAAGTTCATATGAAGATATTTGTTAGAAAAAGATTAGGTGCAAATTTGATCAAATGTGGTGCAAATTTGGTCAGTATCGGTTCATTCGCTAGATAGCCCGTCTTGAAAACGGCTATTACGACCACGACATCGATTTTAAGACTGATTATTTTCGCACATCTACCCTGCCTGCATATTAATCTACTGCCGTTAATGCCCACAGAATGAGTAGTGAGGGTAATGAGTTGCCTTGCCATTCATTCACTCGCTCACACAGTTCTCACTCGATCAATCAATCATCATTCGCTCATTCACTCACTTACTCTCATTCACGCGCACTGTCACTCATGCACCAACATATCGACTCACTAGCTCACTAACTCACCCGTTCACTCATTCGCCCACTCCCCACTCACTCACTCACTCACTCACTCACTCACTCACTCACTCACTCACTCACTCATTCACTCACTCACTCACTCACTCACTCGCTCACTTACTCACTCACTCACTCAGAGCCTCACTCCAATCTCTTCAACTCACTCTCTCACTCTGTCTATCTCACCTGATCCCACTCTATCCGACGTTCACATTTCTTCTTGACACCAACTGCAGCTTCGTAGTTGCTATCTTCACCGTATTCAGGCAGGTGCCCACAGCGCCTCTGGTGGTCGATTCACAAACTACAGTGGCTGTGCCAGCCCCCTGACCTTCAAGTAGTGTTTGATGTCTCCACACAGCCATACGTGGTCGGCATACCACAGCGCTGGGGGGAGGGGGAGGGGGAGGGGGGAGTCAAGCGGCGCGCTCAGAAAGCGCCGAGTCATCCATGACGACCGGTGCTCTACGCTCTACGTATGCGGTAGGTGGCATTCGAGAGAATGTCCAAAATAAGGAAGAACCACTTCGGTCATTTTGGTCAGGTCAAAGGTCAGGTCACCAGAGGTGAACAAAGGTGAAATGATGTCTATTTCAACATTTTTTTTTAACACCGCCACATAACTCGAGAATCACTAGAGCTACAGTGCCGCGGAGAAGCGCATTCGATAGCCCTTTTAACCTTATTTCTGATGATTGTCCTTAAGTTTGTTCTCAGGGAAACGGTGTAGCCTGCAGAAGGCAAAAATTAAAAATAGCCTTTTGCGGGAAACTGTTTTTCTTCAATAACTTTTGAGTCGAGAGGGCCACGACATTATTTTTGCCAGCATCGTGTTCCTCTTGTCAAGACGTGTCGAATGTACTATAATGTTGACCTTTAAATGTCGACTTGAATATTTGACCTCAGATCAAGGTCATGACATGACCGGAGAAGGTAATTTTGCATATCAGCCGATCCGTATTGTCAAGCCGAACACATCTAAGGCATTTCATCGCTCTCGCATGCCTCTTTCAGAAGTTATTAGTGAAAAACTGGTAGATTGCATTAATGATCTGAGATGACCTAAGGGGCATAACGAGGGGTCATGGGTGCCATTTCTCGGTTCAGTGTGTGATTTTTACGGGTAATTCGGTGGTTGAAAGTGTCAAGAACGACCTTCGTCAAAAAACCGCCTTCAATTTTCTCCCGTTGACTTATGTCGCTTATGTGATTTTTATTTTTTACTTAAGCTATATATATATATATATATATATATATATATATATATATATATATATATATATATATATATAATTTAAGTCTGGGAGTATTCAGGTGACCTAAGGTCAGGTCAATTTTGCGACCTCCCATTATAAGTCAATGGGATAAAAGGTAAAACTGAAAGGCAGCTCTTTTGAACGGAAGTCATTGTAAACACTCAAACACTGAATTACAATTAACTTCGACAGTTGATACAATGAACATAAATATGACACCCGTGACCCCTGTTTATGCCCCTGAGGTCATATCAGGTCACGAATGGTACCCAACAGTTGTTCGCGAATAACTTCTGATAGAGGCCTTCTAGAGCAATGAAAACGCCTTAGATTTGTTCAGCTCGACTATATGAATCGACTGATATGCAATATAACCCTTTCGGGTCAGGTCATGACCTTGAACTGATGTGAAATTTTCAAGTTGATCTTTCAAGGTCAAATTATAGTTAATTTGATGCGTCTTGACGAGAGGAACACGATGTCGGTAAAGTTCGGCTCTTGCAAGGCTTGAGTCAAAAGTTTTTGCACACAACTGTTTCCGCAAACAATAGTGTTTTGGCAGCTTTTGCCCCTGCGGGCAAAACCATTAACGTTAGGGAAGCCGGGGAAACCCCGGGCGCGGGGGAAGCCCGGCCACCCCGTTTGCGGCTAAATTATTCATAATAAAATGCTAAACTGTTTGCCTTTTAGCGTGGCAGCTGAGTTAACCCCAGCATTAAAGTTAACGCTAACAAAAATTGTATATTGTTAAAGTTATTGAGCAAAAATGATATTTTAAGGGCTTTTAGCTAAAAACTGAGATATGTTGCACTGTTAATGTTTTAACATATAACCCTAATATTTATACGAATGTTATGAAAGGATCGTTTAACCCGCGCGGGGCTGGGGGTACGCGAATTTTCGCAATATCTCAAAAACGGCGGCGCGCAGCGCCGCCAAACTTTCAGTACCTTTTCTTACATCAATTTGACACGTTCCCTGAAAATTTGAGCGAAATCCGTCGGAAATCTTTTGAGAAATTGACGTTTTAGTGACGTCATGTTCGCCATTTTCGCCTCAAAAACGGCAAAATTTCAAACGCCGCTAACATCTTTATTTTTAAAGGAATCAAGACGTAACAAAAAAGGTTATACGTAATTCTACTTTGTCTATCAAATGGCTATCTCGGTTTTTTGAAAATTTTGGATTTTGGCCCAATTTTTTTCAAAAAACTGACTTTTTTGGGAAAATAATTATAAAATCCAAAATTTTGAGTGTATCGAAAAAACCGGAATATATGTCAGAGAAGTGGTCTATGTGCACCTACATACCAATTTTTAGAAGAATCGGTTCAAAAATGTGGGAGTTATTCAAAATTTTATGACGTCACGACACACAAAAATTTTGAAAAATGATTTTTTTTGGAAGTTCGAGACCTCGTACGGAAACAAAAATAGCACCATTCGATTCGCCGTGAAAAACTGCATCAGATAGACACCTTTTTAGGCCTTAACAACCAACTTAAAAATTTGACCTCACTTGACCTGACCTTGACCTGACCTCGACCTAAAATTCATCCAGAGGTGGTCCATATCACTTATTGAGTGTGCCTATTGAATTCTATGAGTAAAATGACCCATAAAACATGTGTCGCACATGCCCTTTTCTATATTTTGTTTTTGGTGACCTGACCTGACTTGACCTTGACCTTGACCTCTGAATGGTATTGTATGCAACGAATATTGTCTTGGTAGCCTAAGAACACGTTTTGGGCAATCAGTCTCAGTCCATGACTCCATTCTTCGGCAACTACGGTGCAAGGCCGTTACTGTAGGATTTTGCAATTTGTACCCTTGACCTGACCTTGACCTTGACCTCAAACTTAAAATTAAGTACATGTTTTTAGTTGTTCGTGATGAGATCTTTCGATTGGCGTTTGAATTTTCCAAATCGGACCATTAGTTCGGGAGATAACAGGGGGGGTAAAATTTACCCCCCAGCCCCGCGCGTTCGGCTGGAGACCCCAGCCCCGCGCGGGTTAAGTGTTTGTAGTGAGGGGTGACCAAGCAGGCTGGCTGAAGTATGACATTTTTTTCCAAACATCGCTGTTCTAAAATAAAATTAGCATATTAGGGTAACCCCGGGCGAGTGGGCGAGCTTACCCCCAACCGAGAGCTATGCCACTAAACCACTGTTGTCCATGAGATGATATGTACTGAGTAGGTTTGGTTTACACCTAGCCCAAAAATAAACTTCGATTGAAGCATGTCATCATAGACAAAGCCTCTTCGGCCTGTCGCTCTATTCCAGTGTCTGTACCTACCTATCAAGTATGGATTAACACGCGCACCGACGGGGGGCGGATATCCGCCCCCCCCCCCCTGAGGTTTTTCGCGAATAGCGGGAAAACCGCGGCGCTACGCGCCGCGAAATTTGGTACGACTATTTTCTCATCAATTTTACACATGGTGTGCAAGTTTGAACCTCTTAACTTTGAAGGTCAGGTCACCAGGTCACTTTGAATGACCCAACCTCAAGTCACTTTTTTGCAACTTTGTCACCGTGCCAGAGGTACAGTAGATGTCGGAGGCCTTTGAAAGTCGCAGGATGTTATAAGGTCATTAGTAGCTACAATTTGTATATCTCGGAATTTTGATGTCGGTGACCTAAGGTCAGGTCAATTTCGCGACCTCCCCATTATAAGTCAATGGGGGAAAAAATCAACTCCCTGTTTTTACCCCTAAAACGGGTCGGAATGGCCCCATATACCATACATGACTTCATATACGGTCAACCTTCACTACCTTGAGGTCTGTTTTGCTGCTGGGCAGCTGTAAGGTCATGTGACGTCATCAAAGGTCACCAGCGGTTTTTTGCCAATAACTCCGTACAGGAACAAGATACAGCCGCGCGGATAGTCTCATTTTGTTCAGCTCGTCAAGACGCATCGAATGATATACATGATGACCTCGAGGTCACGTGACCTTAGGTCAACCTTTGACCTTGACCCTTCGAGGTCAACATATATACCATTCGATGCGGATTGACGAGAGGATCACGATGATGCCCTTAGTTTGTTCTTATCATGACTAATTCGAAAGTTATTCGAGAAAAACTCTCTCCTCATCTAGCGCCGCCATTTTGACTTTTTCGACCCCTGTGACGTCAGCTTTGACCTGACCTGAAAATGACCTTTGTAAAAATTGTAGACCTTGTCCGTGCGTATCCGATGCCGTTTACCGCTTGTCGCTATCTTGCTTCGTTCTCGAGATCTCAGGGGGGGGGGGGGGGGGGCGCGGTCATCCGCCCCCCCCGTCGGTACGAAGTTGGCGCAGACCCCCGTCGGTGCGCGGGTTAACCCGCGCCCTGGTGGGGGGGGGGGCTATTTTTTGCCCCCCCCCCCTCCAGACTTTTCGATATATCTCCAGAACCGCTGCGCCGATCGTCACCAAACTTTCAGTACCCTCCCGGACATCAATTTTACACATTGTGACCAAATTTTTTTTTTAAAGGCTATGATAGGTTGGCCGGAAATGACGTCAGAGTGACGTCATGTTCTGCCGTTTTCGACCCAAAAAAGGGTTTCGCGGGAAGAGCTGTCAGGCCTATACCTTTGCAAATAGGGGAGAGCGGGGCCAGTTGAACCACTTTTTATATATTGACATACACAGCGAGATCTAGTTGTCATATCGAAAAATGCACAATACCATGAAAAATATGCTCTTTTGGCTTTATTTTAAGATATGTAAAATTATGTTTCAAACATATTTTGCTGCCAAACGCATGCTTATAAAACAGCTCTACGCCCGTTTCAAATGACCCCGATGCGAGGGTCAATTGAACCAGCCCATGGGGTCAATTGCACCTATCCTTAACAATGGGATGTTTTCCTCTTTAAGGCCACTTTCTTAAGGAGATATTTTGTCCGGTTTACTTTTCCAAATGCTACATTCAATAGGTCGTTGGAAAGCCAAAAGTGCAAAGTTCCTCATAATAGGTGACATAAAGTACATAGACTATGGTAAAATGGGCGGATGAGGAAAATGAGAAATATCTCAGGCTATAGTGTGCTTTCAAGCAAAAGGCTGGAG